AGCCACCTTTGGCAAAGTAGAAAGGAACGATTGGCCATCGGTGATCGGTCCTGTGGGAACAATGCTCCGTCCTCTCGAGGACGCGTGGTCAATGGTCTAACCGCTAAGACATGCAAAACATAGTACGCCCCCCCCCTACACACCACCAAACGCCTTTAGCTATTGACCACCGGTCCCTGTTACGCTTATCGAGTGCGTTCGATGGAGGACCGCCGCCGCGGCCTTGCTTTGGTTCCACGTGTACATAGGGTTCGCTTTAAGATGAACGCTCGACTCATGCCACTACTGCTGCCTTGTTCGAGTTTATCATCGTCCGCGCTATTGTAGTCCTACCAACCTTTGTTTTTCTCTCCCGGGTTCACGCTCTTTATCCCGCCCGCAGGGCGTTCTCCAAGACCATGTCCTACGTGAAGCGCTTCGGGGGGCTGGGGGGCTCCGTCAAGATGACCGCCACGTCGGAGTTGCGAGAGTGAGTGGCAGACAGATCGACGGAACGCTCGCTGTGCGCCTCGTGGCCTTAGGAGGAGAAACGGTCCATCTTGGGCCAGGCGGTGCTCATCGATGCTGTACTTGACGTCAACAACACAACCACGACATGCTGCCGTCTTCTTCATTGTCTAGACTGACACCACCTCCCTGGCGCTAATACTTGCGCGTGCACCCCTTCCGCCACTGTAGGGCCCTCCAGCAGTTCGAGACGTTCCACGAAGGCGAGTCTATCAGGTTGCATCAGTTCGAGATCATGCAGGTGGCCAATCTCATGCAGGCGGACAGCGAGGTGGAGGAGGTGAGTGGTGTACATGTCGGCGGTGTTGTATCTTTTTTTATTCTCATCTTCCCTTCGACCTACCTCATTCGGTGCGCCAGGGTATTTTGTTCGTTTCCTTTTGTTTGTGGGTCATCGCTACTCCGCTTATCATCGCTAGAACTAGCCTCAGGGTAATTTTTAGTCAGGGTGGCGACCAAAGCCGTCGCCAACTGCTGCCACACACGCTGCCGAAGTAACAGAGAGTCCCCGAATGCCATACCAAGGATAACCTCCTCCCTCTGCGGTTGGCGAGAGAGCATGCCGCAAGCAAGGCGTGGTCGGTTTTTGGCTCCATGGCAACACCCTCTTGCTGTCTTCGACCCCGCGCCCGTGTTTTTCTCTTGGTTCACACTCACACGCACAGGTGCTAGCGCTTATCCCCAGCCTGGGCGCTAGGCTAACAGAGGAAGACCTCGAAAATATTCTCGCCATCGTCAGAAAGCACCAGCACTCGCGCTTGTATTCTTAAAGAGGGGGGGTGAGGGGGGGGTGTCGGTCATAGGGGACGACGCGTGACCTCATTATTTTGATGATTCGATGCATAATAGTGTATGCGGAGAAGGAGAAAGGTGGAGAGGCGGCATAATGCGAAAGCCTTCTCGGAACGGGTGGGTCCTTGTTGGTTGTCGTTGTTTCTTTGTGTTGTTGAGTTGTGCGTGTCGGGATGCTAAGCAGTGGTCACAGCCTGGTAGCAGGCAGGTGTGTACTCGATGTTCTCTCCGACCAAATATGTCAGTATCTGTCTTGTTTCGTTGTTGTTCGTGCCGCGTGTTCACCAAATTAACAACTAGGGTTTTGAGTGACGGATCTCAAGATGAACATCTCATCGGGCTAGCGTGCTCAACTTGAGCGAGGCGTGAAGGCGCAATCTATACAGACGTGATTTGTGGCACTGTCTATGCATATGCACTAGCAGGAAGGCAGGTGCTCAGGCTGGCTAGTCAAGATGCAACAATGTTTCCTGTTCACTGCACACGCATCCAGTCTCCTTCCTCCCCGACACTCCCAAGCACTAGCACTCGCGTCAGGGGAGCCCACGACCTGGAAAATATGGTGGTGGTGTTGCGTGCCTGGCTGACCCCGAACCCTTTCGTCTGGCAACTGGTTATGTCGCGCGGTCGATTCAATTTGAGAAAACGCACACACGCAAGGTCCCCCGAAGGGTATATAAGGCTCCCTGCCTACCAAGTGGAAATGATTATTGTGCATTTCCGTTAGGTTAGCGCCGTCGATGTGCCAGTATTTTTTCAACGGCGTCCAGCGGCACGAACGCCTCCCGGACCGAGCGACAGAAGGGGGCAGTAGGAATCACGGAAGTTGTTCCAGGCCAACACGTGCGGAGAGCGCCATGCGTATTTGTTGGGATTGCAGTAGCAGACATGCCCATCGGTACATACCCGCACGCCGCCCGGCATACTCGACCGCAGCCAAATCGGGTCTTGGGCGTGGACACAACACCCTCCTCAAAAATGCTAGATGGACCGCGTTTCTTGTTTGTTGATTCAAGCCCTTTGCGTCCGAAAGCAGCTACGAAGACGACTCGGATTCTTGGACAGAAAATGCCTTGCATGCGGCGTTGTTAAGCTTGGTCATTGTCTGCTACGCGATACTAGGTTGTGAGAATGAAACATTCGACGTGCCGGCATCGGCATCGTTTGTGGTTTGTCCGTGCCCCCAACCACATCATTCCGGGTCGCCCTGTTCTTCAGGAAATTCTTGCTTTCTACACGATGCCCTGCACCGATCTACATGCACGCGTGCAAGCTTTCATAACAACGCAAACTCTCCAAACCAGCTTGCGGGTGTGTGCACCACTGTAGCAGTTCGCAAGAATTGCTTTTCGGCAGAATTACCAGGTACACACTCTACAATGTTCTTCGGGGCTAAATTTACATCCTGTCGGTCTTTACCAAAAGTGAGGCGCCACTACATATCCGTTCGACAATCGAACCCGAGAAGGGCGCCTGGTCATACCTACGCGTCCCAGCAAATGCATTATTTTCATTAAGTCCGCCAGAGGACGCGCACAGTCATGTCTGAAGGATATAAGTCCAAAATGGAACCAGAGCACGATACACACAAGACATCAACAGATAGATGCGGCGAATCTCTCTCGAAACAAGTCGGGTTTTGCAGCCTCTTTTGGTCGAGAAACTGAGGAGCCATGCACCAAAGCCACCCGGCCCTCCTCGCAAAAACGTGCCTTTTTGGAGTACCATGACCCAAGGAGGCAGCGATCTAAAGTTAGATTAGATCAATCCAGCTGCGCTGTTTCCAGCTATTGCCGCTTGGGGAGAAAATATTGATAATAGTAAACATGCGAGAGAAGCCCTGGGCGCGCGCGCGCGCGTGTCCCAACAGCAGTCAGCCGGTGGCGTAGTTGGGGTGTACAGCGATGCGCTTCTCGTCGTCCGGGGCGTCGTCGTCTGGCTCTCCGTCGTAGATGAGAAGGCCGTCCTTTGTCAGGAGGCGCTTGATCACCTGGGATGCGACCGCGAACGGTTTGGGGGTGGGAAAAGAATACGGAGAGAAAACACGACGTAGATGGGTTATTTATTTGCATCTCGCGCGCGGCAAAAATATGGTTTTTCATGTACAAGGCAATCCCAAGAAAGTGGTTGGGGGTGGTAACACGCAGACAGTGGCATCACGCGTTGGCACGCGTGGTGGGAGGGGTATCCATGGTACACACGCCGCTGTGAAAAGAAGCGAAAGGCGCACGTGGCCGCGTCCGGTTCTGCGAAATCGCCGAGGTCTTACGTACCAAAACGCTTCGCGCGATACGGGCAAACAACCGGCACCCTTGCAGTGAAGTACCGGCCTAGTCTCGTTTTACCTCCTTGCCGAAAATGGCGCAAGTCTGTACGCGTCAACACGACTGGAGAGTGCATCAATTCGTTTAGGTTCTTGAAATAGTCCCGCTGACCATACCGGCGTCCCTGCGGGGCGAAATTTTTCCTCCCCCCCATGGGTGTTTACTAAGCAGAGCGCCCGGCACAAGACTGGGGTACTTGTGTCAGGAGGTGTGAACTTGGATCTAGACTACGAGCCTATGTTGGAGGCGCTATTTAGCGTCGGTGAGCCGGCAAAAGAACTGAAAGGAACCACAACCCCC